CACCAGAGATGCATACATGTGGATGAAAAAGTTTATTAAATTGCATCTGCAATCTATCTGGATAAGAGAAATGATGAGTCTTAGCTAGGTTTGCAGTATGAGTGTGTGCATGAGATCCCTACCAGTTCCCTTTTACATTACCAAAATTGGAAGCTGCTTTATTAAAGCTGATGTTTGGTTCTTCTTCTTCTTTTTTTAAATCTGGGCACGTAGCAGAACAGTATTCTGAGTTGGATTATTTTGTCTTAAGAAGGGTGATCACTGCTAAGCATTTTTCTAATTTCTCTTTTTCTGTGCAGTTATTGCTACATTTTGACAAAATTGCGAGCTCTCACTGATAATGTAGGGATTGCTTCGAATGTATATTCATTCCTGCACAAACACGATTCATGAACAGATTGTTCAATGCCCCTGTAAATGGAGTTTCTAGGAAAATTGGGAGACAAGGAGAAAGACTGTCTTCTTAAAAGGGAAAGCTGTTTGTATTTGTGAAAACACACATCCACACAATGCTTTTGTGAAATTCAAATGTGTCTAAAAACGCATATCAAGAAAAAAAAAAACATGCTATATGTATTGCAGAGACAATTGGAATGCAATTTGTCCTGTGCCATGTCACCATGCCCCCCCCCCCTTTCAAAAAAAAAATCTGTGTGTATGAGGGAAAAAGTGACTGACAGAGAGAGAGAGAGAGAGAGAGAGAGGGAAGAGGAGGAGGAGAACCAGGCAGAGAGAAAGAGAAAAAGCCTCCTCTCTCTGCTCTTCTGCCAGCAAGAAGCAGCTTTATTACATAACAGTCTCAGGGCTTGGCAGCTCACATGCTTTTAAGGAAGAAGCGCACGTTCCCCTGCACCTGAAGTCTCATGGCAGGGTGGGAGAAAAAGACGGGGATGAGGTGGAGGCTCGAGAGAAGAGCAGCGAGAGTGAGGAGAAAAGTGATGAGGAACAAAACACAGATGTCAGCTGAGAGATGGCTGGACTGCCTTTTTCCAGGCTTGAAGACAGGCATCAGCCGATTACTGTAGCTGAAATGAAATACTGCCACTGTGACTGCCACTGATAATAAGAGCAATAATAATAACGCTTTTATGCATGTTCTGTATTGGCTGGAAGTTTATGGCTAGAATTAGTGGAAACAACATGATCTACAACAAATACCTGCAACAGAGGAAATGCAACAGCAGTTTTTTTTGTTTTTTTTTTTAAATAAAGCATCATCCAAATTCTCTATTAAAACATGAGAGGAAAAAAAGGCAGTGTAACATTGTTTGACTTAGAGTAATCTCCTGAATTTTGGAACAAAGAGATCTATTTCGATATATTTAGTTTGGAGAAAATAAAAAGTATATGATGTGAGTGTGACTGAAAGACTGATATGGTATGATGTATCAGTGTTGGTATGTAAAACCAACTACGCTGGTTTAAAAAGCCGGTCGGTTCATGGGGTGCGACCCAGTAGCCTTTACACATACCACATTACCGCAATGTCCTTTGACTCCCAGCTGTTGCGTATCATACGCCTCTCTCTCTCTCTCTCCCCACATTTCCTTTCTGTACCTTGACTACTGCTGTCAAATAAAGGCCTAGGGATTGTGGAGTAAAGGTTAGAAGTCAGGACAGTCGTCCCGTTTATCAGAAACAAGGGTCCTGACATGTAGAGTATATCCAACCCAAACTTCCTACCAGACCACAGCCATACTAGCGGCTCTATGAGGCTGTACTTTGACTTGCTCTTGCTTTGAGCGAAATGCTAACGTTAGCAGGCTAATAATGACAATGCCAATGTGCTGATGTTAAGCAGGTATAATATTTACTGTGTTTGCCAACATAGCTTAGCGTGTTAACATGCTAACATTAACTAATTTGAAATGCAGTAAGCACAAAGCACAGCAGAGGCTGGTGGGAATCTTTATCAAATTTCATCCAGCCCATCAGAAGATATCCCATCGCTCTGTCTAATCTGGGTCCCAATGAATGTCTTCTCGACATTAACATGCTTCACGTATACTCTGTGCTGTCTTGAAACACAATGATTTCCACTTTTGCAACTTGTGATGTAAATGGTGCACTTGAAACAGACCCGACAAAGGTCTGAGTGTGTGTCTTTGTCTGGTAACCCACAGCACAAGGACAGAGGTGTAGCCACGACTTTCATTTGTTTTCTTTTTATTTAAAGACTAATGCAGAGAATCAGATTCTACAGGGCCATATCATAACCAAAAGAAACAAAAGAAAACATTTACAGAAGGTTCACCATTTCATCTACATCCATCAGAACCCGTTGTCAGTATCACTGAACTACTAACACATTCCTGTGTACAGTATGCGGGTGTGTGTGTTTGTGTGCATCTTGAACGTGTGTATGTATGGTGTCGATGTCCATATGTAGACAGTCTCACTCTAATTTCTCTTTCCCTAATCAACTTTTGTGCTTTAGAAAATTAGTTTTTTTTTTTACATTTCAGTGAAAATCAGAACATATTTTGCTTGATAAAAATACAAGAAAAAACTCCAGTAGGTATCTAGGAATAACCAAAAACTCAGTGTTGAAAAGCAAGTGCTGCTGAGAACTGCGATGGACCTTGCATCAAACATAATGGAAGAAATGACAGATGTGCCTACAAATGTGATATTTACATGTATGCTTTGCATATGAGTGTGAAGGTAAAAGTTGGAAGCTCACGATTGCACTGTGCCTCATATTTCACATTCCCTTCTCTGTGGAGCATTAAGTGTAGCAAAACCAGACCTGGCTCAAAAAGTATTTGTAAATGGTCTCTAGCGTTGGTTTTCATCCTGCTTGGAGAACTAGATATAGGGGCTCATCACAGATATTCCTAGGAGAAAAATCTACAAAATTCACTTTTGTCTTGTCAAAGTCAAAACTCTGTGGCGCTCCCTATGATATCATTGAGCTTTGGAAAACAAAATAAAGTGATCCATTTAGCAAAATAACATTTCACCTGCCTCCATTTCTGTAATGACAAACAAGCTCAAGGAGTGAACAGAAATATTATTAACAAGGTGATCTTGTTACAGTTTTGCTCCTGTTGTTTTTTTTGTTTTTTTGAGTTCAGTCACTTTATTGCATTTCTCTGGAGAAAAAGTGCAATCGACAATGAAAGCCATTTTCCCTTCAAGCAATGACAAAAATCCAAAGCGCAAATAAAAGAGATAATCCACTGTTTTCTTTGTTGTCACCCTGTATAGCCATGGTTGAAAAAAAAAAGCTAATGGTTTGCACAGCTGATATAAAAGCCAAGCTTTTTTTTTTTTATTTCTTTTTTTTTTATAATAGCTTGTGAATCTGAAACACAATGGTCAGGGAGAGAAGGTCAGTGATGTGGTTCAAAGCTGTCCTTGCATAGCACAAAGCTGACTACATAAATGTGATGTTATTGTTCTTCTAAATGTGCAAAATGCATAACAATAGGTTGATAATACAAACAATATTCATCATCGTCTTAGCTAATATCTTCATTAATAGAATCAAATACTGTATGCATTATGTATTTTACATATGTATATATATTTTTTTCCTCATGATAATAAACATACATACAATAGTTTAGAATTCAGATATCTTTATACAACTCTTCACCCTGAACTTTTCAGTTCCTTGACCCTCTGCTTGTAGGTTAAGTGGCTGTGAACAGTAGACTGCTTGCATATGCTTGCAAAGACGTCTGCCATTAGGGGGGATAGGTTCAGTATTGGTCATAATGATAACGCAAATAATAACAATAGCAACAACCACCAATGTCTTTTTAGTTTCCCTCTGGCGATAGTGTGATCTCTTCACCTCAGCGCACAAACACACAGAGAGTTATAACATGCCTTTTGGCCTGGTCAGTGCCCTGTAAAACATATTCAAACAAAAAAAAAAAAGAAAAAAAGAAAAAAAAGAAAGCACACCCAGAACCGATAATGCAGTACAATGCACCCCCACTCTCTGGCAAGAAATGTGGAGATTTTGCGAAACAAAGTTAAGAGTGGGACCCAAAGGCTTCAGAACCCCAGATGGACGCACAATGCAATGCTAACTTTGACCAAATCTAAATATTTCCTAGATTTCTATGTACAGCATACAGATGAAACTACAAGTAGGAGGGGTCAATGTAAAGCTACAATGGATATCACCCCCAGACTGAGTGTCAGGTTCAGGTCCTAAGAAAAGCCCTTGCTAATTAATATTGCTACATTAACATAATTTAAAATGGACTGTTCAGAAACCTTAACGTGCCACATCAGAGAAGAAGCATTTCCCTAAAGTGTGTGTCTTTACTAAGTTTAAAAAAAAAAAAAAAAAAAACAGCAAGCAATGTTCTAGACAAAAACAAAAGCATTCTTTTCACATTTGCGTTAGTTTCTGTTGGTTTTTCTCGGAAGAGGGATTGACATCATGCTACAAAAATATATTCATCTTCATCACTATCGTAGAACTACAAGACAAGTCCTCTGTGCGAAACACAGCGCCGGCTAAAGTAAGATTACAGTGCCACTTCAACTCAACGTCTCCTTCCTCTCTTTGTCTCTTTCTGTCTCTGTCCCTGTCTCTCGCTGTTGCTCACCAACAAGCAGCAACAAATGAGTCCAAACGGGCATGTGATACTGAAGGCAGTGTAGCTGGTACTTTCTGAGTGTTATGTCTCAATTTTCAGCTGAAGGGAGATGGGGACTATGGCAAACAAGGTTGGGGGACACAGTGGGATGGAAAATACAGACGCGCCATCAATCAACAAAGTAATAGCCATCACAGCTTCAACTCTGAAGTTGGAAAAAGGCACTTCTCCTCCTTCTCAATGTGCCCCACCCCTCTTTAAGTGATGCTAACCGTACTTTGCTATAAATGGCGGTTTTGGCAAACGAGGCCCCATCATGAATAATCAAACGCTCTAAAAAAAAAAAAAAAAAAACAAAAAAAACAAAACAACAAAAACAAACGAAATATGTAAATAAGAATGTTTTAATTCTAGATGTAAAATGCACACCAGGATTTGAGATGATTTTTTTTTTTTTTTTTTACATTCTTACTCATAACTAGTCAATCTCAGTTTACACGGTTGATGTTGTTGTTGTTGTTGCTGTTGTTGCCGTCAGTGTGTACACAAACACACAATTAAACAATATTTTGACTTCGTTGTGAAAGCAGCTTTGAATGGAATGCTAACTTGGTGAGAAACAGTCACTTAAGCGTGAATTAGACCAGTATATACTCTTTTTGTAGAAAGTATCATAAACAAAAACAAAAATAAATGGAAAAAAAGTTTACTTTTCCATGTATTCAATAAACATACCCTTTTAGTTACATTTTGCAAAGCTTAAACATAATATTGACATCTCTAACACTTGATAATATTTACAATGCTGTGAAAGGAAATTAATATTTTCAATGCTGAGCACAGAGATGATTGGATTTTTGTATATTTTTTTTGACCCCTAAATAAATGGTGTGTCCACTGAGACATGTTTTATTGCTATTGCAGAAACCCTAACATATTTTGAAGAATGACATAATTAATCTCATAAAACATCTACAGAGAATGGAACATATTTTGACAGAGACTGAGCGTTTAGCATTTTGCTGATGATATCAAATGAACTAAGCCATCAGTCAATGTTGATCTGTTTTTTTTTTTTTTTAAATAAATAAACATAAATAATAAGATGTCTTGCCCATGCATATACACAAGTGCCTTTTACCGTGTCTGTGATACCATGTTTGAATAAAATATAATAAAATTAAAAAAATTAAAAAAAACCAAATAAATAAAAACAAGAAAGCAAACATAGAAACAAAAGCCCCTTAACAAGTTTGGGCTATGTGCAGTTGTAGAATAGCATTCTCTTGGCTATATATTTATATTAGCATTTTCTTAATAGCATCATCCCAGACCTGAACAACACCCTTCCAAAAGTCCATATTGTTATCGTTCTTTTTTTCTCTATTTAGTTTTTTCAAAATCTTCAAAATTTAGGTAAACATAGAAGCAATGCAACAACTGGGAATTCAAACCAGCATGGACACCATGTTTGTCTGAAAATAAACACCTTTTTTTCTTCTTTTTTTTCTAAGGAGGAATAAGAAAGAAAATGAAATAATTACAGGTATAATTTAAAAGGAATGAAACATGGATTAGTGTGGATTGACCCCCTGCAGTTTGGGCTTCTTATTCAAGTAGGTTGCCCAGTAGACCAGGTTAAAGGTTCCAAAGAGCAGAGGGAAGGCTATTCTGGCAATCCTGTCTATCTTGCTCACACTGTTAAAGGTTTTCTTGGCCTCTGGAGGCTTGGGCTTTGGCTCCTCCTTGGGCTCAGTTGGGGGTGGTGGTGCGCTTTTGGCAATAGTGGCCAATCCAGGGTCCCTGGCAATATTGGGGGCGAAGGCTGTAGCAGTGGCAGCTGGGTAGGCTGTAGTGTTGTTCTTCTTGAGGAGGGACTCCTTCTTCTTCTTTTGCTGATTTTGTTTTTATGGAAAGTAAAAAAGGATAAAGAGTTCAGGTTACACGTATCATCAAAGCTCTGACTGTGACATACAGTATATTACTGTGCACAATACTTGTTTAAAGCTGCATTTTGTATCTCTGACACAATTACTGGTGTGAATGTGTGATCCAGCAGCCTGGTGAACATCCAGAAAAAAATATGGAAATCAAGTTGAGAAATATTAATTCCTCACATCTACATATTCCCAAATAGAAGCATTAAACTCAGCAGTCTAAGAATGAATATTGGGCTGTATTTATATCAAAAACAGCTGCAGATTACAGAGTACTGTGCTGCTAACTGCGGCATAGAGACAAGTGGAGCAGAAAGCACAAGATGAACACTAAACTATTAATGTTCATGTCATGTTACTCAAATTGCATTTTCTATGAGATGAGCTGGCGACAACAACTAATGTTCCCTGCCTGGTCTTGCTCCCTTGGTAGTTAAGTGTAAACCGTCCCGTTGCAAAATGAATAATATTTTGAAACAGAAACCCATATATGTCTTTTTTTTTTTTAAATGTTATTTTCTGGTGTCTGGTCTGAATAAGAGTCTTTCCATTTCCTGGAAAACATGAATTTGCCTTGCCATTCTGCATTTTGTGCAGTCGTGTTCCATATCATCACCTTACAAGCCACATTATATAAGAGCCTTGGTCTGTTTTCTCTATTTTTATATCATTGTAAGGACTCCTTAGGAGTAAGTAAGCAATTATAAAATAAAAAAAAAAGGGGGGGGGGGCTTCAAATACCTTCTCTGGTACCACACTTTTTCCATCCCAGGCGTAACCCCTCTTGGTGAAGTAGTTGACTGTAGCAAACTCAATCAGGGCGGAGAAGACGAATGCATAGCAGACAGCGATGAACCAATCCATAGCTGTGGCGTAGGCCACTTTAGGGAGAGAGTTCCTGGCACTGATACTGAGTGTGGTCATGGTCAGGACAGTGGTCACTCCTGCAGGGAGATACACAGACAACATCAATATGTAATTCTTAGATCATGTAGTCGCTATCATTACTCTTTTTGGTTACCACAAAACAAGATATGTGAAGTATGTTAATACTCTGTATCAAATAGAGTCATTGGCATGAATGGCATGAAAGTGAATTTATTGTTTGTTGTTAAGCTAACGTAAAGCAGGGACCTGTACATTTGAAATATGTGCTACAGTGGACTTTAGTTAAGGGGCATCATATTGTGCATGGCAAGTTCCTCTTATATGCGTAAATCAAATGAGCATACAGTTGATTCACATGAATCCATATGAGCAGATGATACAGTCTTGTGCTTTTAATCGAATCAGAACAGTAGGGATGTCTACAGATGCAGCTGAAAGACACAGTTGGCCTCAGAGATACTGCTGCTGATTAAAAGCAGGAAAGATAGACTTTCTCTCTAAATCTGACCGATGCTGTGCAACACATTATTCGCGTTTTTGTCCTCATGTAAGGAGCGCTTGTCAGCCCTGGAAAATGAAATCACTAAACTACAACATTAGCTGCCGAAAGCTAAGACTCTGCATGGAGAAGCAGAGGAACTGGGTCAGAGCATATCAAACAACGCGGTGCTCATCACAGAACAGGCCGCTGCAGATGTTTACACACCAAACAACATCAGCTCAAGGAGCAAACAATCCACCCATTCAGCCTGGGCTGTGATGAAGGGCGGTGAAGAACAGCTGGCTTGAACGGGAAACTATAAAATATGCAGAGAGGACCCTCCCACACGCATGCTGTATGTGGAGAGGGATGTTTACGTACAACCATGATACCCCCACATACACACACTGTCATGCTCGAAAGACCAACAGAAATGTGATCTCATCCACTTCTTTAAATCCTCTTGATTTATTTCAAACTTCTCGTCTGAGTGGTTGTTCCTCAATTCTGAGTAAACTTCTAAACTTTGAACTATCCAGTCAAGCAAACTGAAAATGATACTTAAGAAAGGGAAAGAGAATCTCATTTTGATTAAATATGACAAATGAGGCGACATTATTAACAAAACAACAGGGACAGTGAACAGAATACTGGAATAAAAGCGACCTCTGTGAGGAATATTGTTCAGTATTTGCAAAGACTGTGTCAGACCCCATAACAATTGTTGTAGGTTACGGGGGTCATAGTTTGTCCCTTTAAGCGGTTACACAGTGATCTTTCAGTCAGTACTGGTGAGGATCTGTTTATTACCACTGTTCCTCTTTGACAATGTAATTTTGTGTTCGGTTGACATTGTTATGATCTTTGTTTAAGACTTTCCCTCACTTGATAGTTCCTCAGTTCTGTAGTTTGTTTGTGACTGATTGGTTCCTGCACCGGCTCTCCAGCCTCTAAAAGAGGCTAAATGAAGCCGATATTAATTTTCTGCTTAACTTAATATGACTCCTTTTCATAGCTGCCTTTCTGATTTACAGACCATCGCCTTTAAGTTTATTTACAAATCTACAAAGACAGTTCACAAGTTGTCATAATGACATATGCTAAAGAAAGGGGACTAGCATTAGCAAGAAAAAAAATGGTTGCCACAAGGTGATCATGTTCTATTTTCTCTGCAAAATCGCTGACAAAATGACTCTTGTTTTCTCTCACAGCCTCTAGAGAAAAAAAAAAGCTTAAAAAGTTAGTTTTTGCATTGGATTACAATATATTGACTAGTGTTCTTATTATTGAAACGTTACTGTTTCCCTTCAGAATAATGAATTCTTCTTCTTCCTTCTCAGTTCTGATGAAGTGTTAAGAGATGAATCACAGACTCCTCATCCTCCCACTCCCTTTTCACATGATTTTGGCATTGCTGGCTCTGGTGCTGTCACATGAAGCATAAAGGACGATTATTATGTTCTCATTAGTCAGAGCTAAATGAATGATTTGTCATTAGCCATAACAGAAGGAAACGCCTCTGGTGGATTTCCTGTATCCGTATAGCAGGTAGCCTACACCGGGCGCTTTGTCATACATTTCTGGTGTTCATTATGGCTACACGGGGAAGAACAAATAAGTAGGTCAAAGTTATTTATTCTGAAATAACGTATTGTTGAAATTTGCATTGCTTTAATAAAAATGGAGGGTAGAGGGTGAGTTTAACTGGATGAAAACGGACATATGGGAATAATCAAGAGTAACACCTGCCTCATCGTCTGCACTTGGCACGAAAACAGCGTGAACAAACGAAAAAACAAACGACAGCTTCGCATTGAAATTGTCAGTGTTCAATTCCAATTTGACGTGGGACACAGCTCAGCTGCCTGAAACGATGTACGCAGATGGAGAGGGAGAGTATGAAGAATAAAGGTGGCCACCATTAAATCCACACGCCGAGATGTAACGCACAATAGCCATTTTTAAGCTACTGTAAGTATATTAATGCTGCTGTGTGATGCCATAAAAGCCACACATGAACCATGTTCTGCACCTCACCCACTGCTAAGTAGGGCATTGAATGGTTTGTTGATGCATTGTTATGGGAATGCATGGCAGCAGGAGATATGGAAATATTAAGTGATGCTTAGTCAAGTATTCATACCAGATTGTCAACTCAGAATTATGTTCATGTACAGCTCATTTGTACCAGCTGAATTACACTTTGAGGAAATGTATGTTGCTTGTCAGCAAAACATCAGTGTTATCCTCAGTGACAAGATGTGTCATTTGTTTTCCTTTTCAAGGAGTAAAAAACCAGATCCTGCAAAAAAAAAAAAAAAAATCCATGACAAGTGAAGAGTTAATAGCCACTTTAAGTTTGAGAACAAGGTCTTGAGATTTCCAGTGGAGTGCAACATTAACATCAAGGTGTCACCGCTTAGGAGGTGGGTGCCAGAACACTCTCCATTGGAGAACGGCCAGTGTAAAGTGATTTTGCCAGCAACCGTGTCTACTTATGGCCTCAGCAGGTGCTGGAGCACAAAAGAGCGACACCTCACATTCATTGCCTCTGTGCTGAGCGCTACAGAGGCAACATGGAGGGGATTGAGGATGAATAAGCATTGAAAGGGACAGCCGTTACGGAGAACTAGGAACTAGATAATATAAATACATATGTGGGCGGAGGATGACGGCCTACTGATGCACGTGGGGCGCATTAGAAGGAAGAAGATGAAAGATGGTAAAGCAATGTGGATGGAGAGATGGGTGGCAGCGTAGTGGTGTCAATCTGTCAGGTATTCCATTCGCCAGTAAATCAGTTAATTTTGTGGGGGAGGATGAAGGCAGCACCACTGGGTATTACACAAGTCCTCACAAAAGCGCCCCAATGCTTGGAATCGTATATACTTTACAGTGTTTGACACGCTCTGTTGTCATGGAAACAAGTCTTCCAACTCCTCTAGCGTCTTAATACCACAAGAGAAAAAAAGGAAAAAGAAAAAAAAAAACATTTTCTCTAAAAAAAAATCTCTTTCTAAAAATTTCCACTAAGTGTTGGTTTGCTTTTTTGTGCATACACAAATGTGTGTGCGGTTTGTGTGTGTGTGTTTGTTCACAATCATCCGCAGGTATGTGTGCATAAAAGGTGTGTGTATGCTTGTGCTAACAAGGTGGTCAGCCAGAACGATTCCCCTCATGTGTCTGCTCAGTGACGGGCCCTCCTTAGGAATCATTTAGAACACTCGAAAGTTGACTCATTAGAACATGACTCCAGAGCTGGTTTTAAATGACTCCATTTGACATGTTGTAACTAATAGACTGGAGGCTTTGAAGGCTGTTAATGAACAAAGTCACTGATCTGGAAAGTTCTAACTGGATTAATAGTGGAGTAACTCAATTCTGGAGAGTCCCTTCCACTCAATTTAGCTCAGTGTGCACAAGCAGTGACACTTGATTTATATGATACATATCTTCTAACAAGATTTTTGCCTCTGTTTGCAGACTCACTTTCAAATACACACATACGGTACAAGGTAATGGGGAGAAGAAAAAAAAAAAAACCTCAAAATATTGAGAATGATGGTGCGAGAAAACGAATTTGAGGAAACTAAATTAGAGATTTAAGGTGATGAATGACAAGGTGAGGCAGACAGTTTCAGGGTGGTGGGGTGATCATTGGTGCCTCAGGCAAGGGAAAGTTTGATATGACTGCATGTAGGTAAACAGTCCAAATGTGCAGTGTTGGAGAATGTGGGACAGAAAAAATGTCCACTTTGTTTAATAGGTTTTGATCTAATTTCTTTCAGGGTAATCAGTCTGCCTCTGTAAGGCTGCAGATAAGAAAATAAATTGCTCCAGACATAGCTAAAAATAAAATAAGAGGCTCTTTCAGCTCAAATTTATTTGTCCTTTAAGGTCAAACAATTTTTCAGCATAAGGTGCAAAGTCATTCTTTATTGTTATTGATATTATTGATCTTTCTGATGATGAATTGTTTCCTGTGCTGGTTCCAACTTTGGCACTTTGATTGACATCCCTTCCGTGACAGGCTTCAGCTGATCTGACCAATCTCAATCCAGTGAGTAAAATGTGCTGCTTAGCCCCTGGATCACAGCCAAACCACAGACAAATGTTGGTGGGGGGGAGTGAGCCTACAGGAAAATGGCTGTGCTGTCTCTCCCTCTCTCTCTCTCTCTCTCTCTCTCTCTCTCTCTCTCTCTCTCTCTCTCTCCCTCTCTCCCTCTACTCTCACGCTCCCTGGTTCCAGACAGAAATTTGCCTCTGACAATGTTTTGACTGAGTAGGCAACCAATAAAACATGACAATCAAAATGTGGGATGAGGTCAAAAGTACATTGTGAAGTGGGACGCTCGCTCACTCAAAGAATACATAGTTTTTTGTTTTTTTTTGTTGTTGTGTGACTTACACCCTGTAGCTAGGCTGTCAATGAGCTGTCTTTATAAACTGTTAAGGTTGCACGCATCATGATGCACCTGAACAAGGACGGTACAGACAATACACATCTGCAAAGACGAAATTCCTCTGCTCGAGCCTTTGAGGGAGCTTTTAAAAGACGCTTAAGACAGACACCTG